CAGACGTACTATAATGATTTCTGATGCTTTTTCAATGTCATCAAGCCCGTAAAAGATCCTCCGTGTATTCCTTTCCTGAAGGAAACACAATGAGAGAAAACATGTAAGAAATGGTCATAATAGAAAGCTCGAGAGAGAGTTGTTCACATCTGATATAAGAAAGGGAATTTGTATGACATGGACCTGAGAGAACTTCTTAGTTAGATTCCGGTACTTGCAACTCACAAGCTCCCCTCTTTGCCAGTATGTAAACGCAATCACAATCTGCCACATTAAAATGAAACAAGAAACAACAACAGAGTCAGACCAACAGAACCAGAATGAAACATCTCCTAAAGAATCTGACAAGAGAAATAAAGCTTGAAAAATAACAGAATCAGAAGAATACTCGTAGAGTTACCTTATCACCTATTATTTTCTTCATAACCCGATTTCTCTCAAGTGTTTTCCCTGAAATCATTCTTGCAGCGAAATAATCCAGAATCTGAACCATAACCAAGATAAGATTTATCAAACTCATATAACTACAAAGAATCCAATTCACATAGTTATTCAGTCATTTTCTCAAGACAACAACCTCATCACAGAGAGGTTCTAACGCTAAACTCTCCACTGTAATTTTTCTTTCAACCTTCTCCACACCCTTAGGCTTACTCTCATCTTCTTCTTTAACCTTAGTCTCTTTCACTTCTCCTTCTTCCACAACAGCTTTCACTGTTGTCACCTTTGGAACAACAACAACCTCTGACTCCACCTGCTTCTCCTCAACCTTAACTTCAGCAGTCATTATGTCTTTCCCCTGTAACCAGTTTCAAAAACAATAATTAGTCTTCAATTACATAAACATAACAAAATTCAACCTTTTTAATGTAAAAATCAACCAGAAAATTTGACTATACTAAATAGAGAAAATTCGTCTAAAACTAATTCAAGATCTAAAAGAAACTTCACTTAATCACCTTCTTGATTAGTTGAGATCTCAAATCAGAACGTAATTCTTACTAAACCCTGACAATT